GTAGACTACACCAGGGTAGACTATAACAGTGTAGACTACACCAGGGTAGACTATAACAGTGTAGACTACACCAGGGTAGGCTAGAACAGGGTAGACTACACCAGGGTAGACTATAACAGTGTAGACTACACCAGGGTAGACTATAACAGAATACTTGAGTATGATAGACTAGAATAGGGTAGACTAGAACATGGTAGACTAGAATAGGGTAGACTTGAGCATTATAGACTAGAACAGGGTAGGCTAGAACATGATAGACTCGGATAGGATAGAGTAAAACATGATAGACTAGGATAGGGTAGACTAGAACATGATAGACTAGAATGGGTAGACTAGAACATGATAGACTAGAATAGGGTAGACTAGAACATGATAGACTAGCATAGGGTAGACTAGAACATGGTAGACTAGAATAGGGTAGACTAGAACATGGTAGACTAGAACATGGTAGACTAGAATAGGGTAGACTAGAATAGGGTAGACTAGAACATGATAGATTAGAATAGGGTAGACTAGAACATGATAGACTAAAATAGGGTAGACTAGAACATGATAGACTAGAATTGGGTAGACTAGAACATGATAGACTAGAACATGGTAGACTAGAACAGGGTAGACTAGAATAGGGTAGACTAGAACATGATAGATTAGAATAGGGTAGACTAGAACATGATAGACTAAAATAGGGTAGACTAGAACATGATAGACTAGAATTGGGTAGACTAGAACATGATAGACTAGACTATGGTAGACTAGAACATGGTAGACTAGAACATGGTAGACTATAATGGATAGACTAGAACATGATAGACTAGAATTGGGTAGACTAGAACATAATAGACAAGAATAGGGTTGACTTTAATAGTCCTACAGAAAGAGTCAGGATGTGATAAAGGTCAGGGAACAAGTAAGAGGTCTCAGTCCTACTGTAACAGTCAAACTGTGATAAAGGTCAGGGAACAAGTTAGAGGTCTCCGTCCTACAGAAACTGTCAGGATGTGATAAAGGTCAGGAAACAAGTTAGAGGTCACAGTCCTATAGAAACAGTCAAGATGTGATAAAGGTCAGGGAACAAGTTAGAGGTCACAGTCCTATAGAAACAGTCAAGATGTGATAAAGGTCAGGGAACAAATTAGAGGTCACAGTCCTATAGAAACAGTCAAACTGTGTTAAAGGTCAGGGACCAAGTTAGAGGTCACAGTCCTACTGTAACAGTCAAACTGTGATAAAGGTCAGGAAACAAGTTAGAGGTCACAGTCCTACTGTAACAGTCAAACTGTGATAAAGGTCAGGAAACAAGTTAGTGGTCACAGTCCTATAGAAACAGTCAAACTGTAATAAAGGTCAGGTAACAAGTTAGAGGTCACAGTCCTACTGTAACAGTCAGGATGTGATAAAAGTCAGGAAACAAGTTAGAGGTCACAGTCCTTCTGTAACTGTCAGGATGTGATAAAGGTCAGGAAACAAGTTAGAGGTCACATTCCTACAGAAACAGCCAAGATGTGATGAAGGTCAGGGAACAAGTTAGAGGTCACAGTCCTAAAGAAGCAATCAGGATGTGATCAAGGTCAGGGACCAAGTTAGAGGTCATGATCCTTCAGAAACAATCAGCGTGAAAATAATATATTTGCAGCCTACATAGACAATTCATTATTTGTAAACAAGATGTTTCTTTCTAATGATCTGTAGGATTGTAGGTCCTTTAGTTGTTACCTGTTGCTATGCCCTGTGGTAGTTGTGGTAGGGATGTCCTGCCAGGTTACTTGTTGGTAAGCCCTGTGGTTGATTTTGAGTATGCCCTGCCAGGTTGCCTGTTATGTACTGCCAGGTTGCCTGTGGGTTTGCCTTGTGTTGGTTAATTGTGGTTTGCCCTGAGAGGTTGTCTATTGTTATGCCTACTGTGGTTAGGCAGGTTTTCCCTGCAAAGTTGCCTTGTTGGTATGCTCTCTGATTGTTTGTTGGTATGTCTTGAATGTTGCCTCTGTGAGTGCTCTATGATAGTTGTTTGTGGGTATGCCTTGTTGTAGTTGTTTGTAAGTTTGACCTGTTGTGATTGTTTGTAAGTTTGCCCTGTGGTGGTTGGAGGGTATGCCCTGGAAGGTTGCCTGTGGGTTTGCTTTATGGTGGTTGGTGGGTATGCCCAGGGAGGTTGCCTATGGGTTTGCCCTGTGGTGGTTGGTGGGTATTCCAAGGGAGGTTGCCTTTGGTTTTGCCCTGTGGTGGTTTGTGGCTAAGCCATGGGAGATTGCCTGAGGGTTGGCCCTGTTGTGTTTGGTGGGTATGCACTAGGAAGTTGCCTTTGGGTTAACCTGTGGTTGTTGGTACGTATGCCCTGGGAGGATGCCTGTGGGATTGCCTTGTGGTGGTTTGTAGGTATGTCATGTGGGATTGCCCTGTGGTGGTTGGTTGGTGTGCCCTGGGAGGTTGCCTGTGGGTTTGCCCTGTGGTGGTTGGTGGGTATGCACTAGGAAGTTGCCTTTGGGTTTGCCCTGTGGTGGTTTGTAGGTATGTCCTGAGAGGTTGTCTGTGGGTTTGCCCTGTGGTGGTTTGTAGGTATGCACTAGGAAGTTGCCTGTGGGATTGCCTTGTGGTGGTTTGTAAGTATGCCATGAGAGGTTGCCTATGGGATTGCCCTTAGGTGGTTGGTGGGTATGCACTAGGAAGTTGCCTTTGGGTTTGCCCTTTGGTGGTTTGTAGGTATGCACTAGGAAGTTGGCTGTGGGATGGCCCTGAGGTGGTTAGTGGGTATGCCATGGGAGGATGCCTGTGGGATTGCCCTTAGGCGGTTGGTTGCTATGCACTAGGCAGTTGCCTTTGGGATTGCCCTGTGGTGGTTTGTAGGTATGCCCTGAGAGGTTGGCCGTGGAATTGCCCTGTGGTGGTTAGTGGGTATGCCATGGGAGGATGCCTGTGGGATTGCCCTGTGGTGGTTAGTGGGTATGCCCTGGGAGGATGTCTGTGGATTTGCCCTGTGGTGTTTAGTGGATATGCCCTGTGAGGATGCCTGTGGGATTGCCCTGTTGTGGTTAGGGGGTATGCCCTGGGAGGATGTCTCTGGGTTTGCCCTGTGGTGGTTTGTAGGTAGGCACTAGGAAGTTGCATTTGGGATTGCCTTGTGGTGGTTTGTAGGTATGCCATGAGAGGTTGCCTGTGGGATTTCCCTGTAGTGGTTGGTGGGTATGCACTAGGAAGTTGCCTTTGGGATTGCCCTGTGGTGGTTTGTAGGTATGCCATGAGAGGTTGCCTGTGGGATGGCCCTGTGGTGGTTAGTGGATATGCCCTGGGAGGATGGCTGTGATATGGCCTTGTGGTGGTTTGTAGGTATGCACTGAGAGGTTGGCTGTGGGATTTCCCTGTGGTGGTTGGTGGATATGCACTGAGAGGTTGGCTGTGGGATGGCTCTGTGGTGGTTTGTAGGTATGCACTGAGAGGTTGGCTGTGGGATTTCCCTGTGGTGGTTGGTGGGTATGCACTGAGAGGTTGGCTGTGGGATGGCCCTGTGGTGGTTTGTAGGTATGCACTGAGAGGTTGGCTGTGGGATGGCCCTGTGGTGGTTTGTAGGTATGCACTGAGAGGTTGGCTGTGGGATGGCCCTGTGGTGGTTTGTAGGTATGCACTGAGAGGTTGGCTGTGGGATGGCCCTGTGGTGGTTTGTAGGTATGCACTGAGAGGTTGGCTGTGGGATGGCCCTGTGGTGGTTTGTAGGTATGCACTGAGAGGTTGGCTGTGGGATGGCCCTGTGGTGGTTTGTAGGTATGCACTGAGAGGTTGGCTGTGGGATGGCCCTGTGGTGGTTTGTAGGTATGCACTGAGAGGTTGGCTGTGGGATGGCCCTGTGGTGGTTTGTAGGTATGCACTGAGAGGTTGGCTGTGGGATGGCCCTGTGGTGGTTTGTAGGTATGCACTGAGAGGTTGGCTGTGGGATGGCCCTGTGGTGGTTTGTAGGTATGCACTGAGAGGTTGGCTGTGAGATGGCCCTGTGGTGGTTTGTAGGTATGCACTGAGAGGTTGGCTGTGGGATGACCCTGTGGTGGTTGGTAGGTATGCACTGAGAGGTTGGTTGTGGGATTGCTCTGTGATGGTTTGTAGGTATGCACTGAAAGGTTGGCTGTGGGATGGCCCTGTGGTGGTTTGTAGGTATGCACTGAGAGGTTGGTTGTGGGATGGCCCTGTGGTGGTTGGTGGTGTGTTGTAGACAGTGGTGATGGCTCCAGTGTGGTCATGGTACCTGCAGACTCTGGAAAATGCCAATGTTTTATGTCAGTTACAAAAGAACAGCTCCCTCAGACACACACATATATCTACCATAAGTCAACTCTCAAATCAATAACACAAACCTACATCTTGCTTTCATAAATATTTTAGCACTTTTCTACAGCATTTTTATCACATTTTGAACAAATGTTTCTTTAAGTAAGAGTATTGTCCCCTGCCATACAGATTCTATAATCAGAGCTGATTGTTTGAAGCAGACGACAGATTTGAGGCTACAGGACAAGCCAGAGAGCATGCCTGCATATTATTTCATTCATCTCCAGATAATGTCTCAATAGAGTGTGTTTTCCGGACAACTGTTTCCAGAATCAATTTAAACAACAATTTGACACAATTAGGACAAGACCATTCCATTTCATTTAAAAAATTGGAATAAAGTTTTTACTTTATTTGAATTTGAATTTCTTTGTTAATTTTCCAACTCCCCAAAATTAAAATCTAGACAAAATGTGTTTAAATAGTTTAATTAGGAACTAGTGTAATGGTTAGAATAGATCAATAATCATGCATATTATTATTCCTTACTTTTCATTTGTGATTATTCTATTACTGGAGTCATAATATTGTGTCAGATCCATCAACACAAATTTAATCCTGCTAACATATGGGAACAGTGTATGTTTGTATATTGTCATAGTGATAATTGCATGTTGGATAAAGTGCTAATTGGTATATTGACAATTTATATAATAATGTATATTGACAATTTGAATTTTGGTTTATGACAAGTTTTGTATTGACCTGTATTTGTAATTTGTGTATTGGCTTAAGTGCTCATCCAATAGTGTATTAAAAATTGTTATAAACATATAGACAATTTGTATGTTGGTGTTTTGGATACTTTTGTACTTGGTAAAGTGTTAATTTGATAATTATCATATTGCAAATTTAATCATTGGGCTATTGACGATTTGTTTATTAATTATACTCTTTTAGGTAAAGTGCTGATTTTATAATCAGTATATCAAAATTTTACACACTGGAGTAAAATACTGACAATTTTTTAATTAGTGTATATTGGCAATATGTATAATGACGATCTGTGTGCAAAAAGCTTCACATTTTGTGTATACAGCTACATGTTCTGTGTGCATAAAGCTTCACATTTTGCTTGTACAGCTACATGCTCTGTGTGTACAGCTACATGCTCTGTGTGTATATAGCTTCACATTCTGTGTGAACAGCTACATGTTCTGTGTGTAAAGCTACATGTTCTGTGTGTACAGCTACATGTTCTGTGTGTATAAAGCTTCACATTTTGTGTGTACAGCTACGTATGTTCTGTGTGTACAGCTACATGCTCTGTGTGCATAAAACATCATATTCTGTGTGTACAGCTACATGCTCTGTGTGTACAGCTACATGCTCTGTGTGTATATAGCTTCACATTCTGTGTGTAAAGCTACATGTTCTGTGTGTACATCCACACATTCTGTGTCTACAGCTACGTATGTTCTGTGTGTACATACACACATTCTGTGTGTAAAGCTACATGTTCTGTGTGCAGCTACACACTCTCTGTGTACAGCTACAGACTCTCTGTATACAGCTACATGGTCTATGTGTACAGCTACTTGTTCTGTGTGTACATCCACACATTCTGTGTCTACAGCTACATATCATCTGTGTACATCTACATGTTCTGTATCTACATCTACATATTCTCATTGTACAGTAACATGTTCTGTGTGTACAGCTTCACATTCTGTGTGTACAGTTACATATTCTGTGTGAAGTTTCATTTTCTGTGTTTACAGCTACATATCATCTGTGTACAGTTACATGTTCTGTGTCATCCAGCTTCACATTCTGTGTGTACAGTTACATGTTGTGTGTGTATATCTACATGTTGTGTGTGTACATCTACATGTTCTGTGTGTAAAGCTACATGTTGTGTGTGTACATCTACATGTTCTGTGTACAGCTACACAATCTCTGTGTACAACAACATGTTCTATGTGTACAGCTCCACATAATGTGTGTACAGTAACATGTTCTGTGTGTACATCTACATGTTGTGTGTGTACATCTACATGTTCTGTGTACAGCTACATGTTATGTGTGTACATCCACACATGTTCTCTGTGTACAGCTACATGTTCTGTGTCTACAGCTATATATTCTCTGTGTACAGTTACATGTTCTGTGTGTACAGCTTCACATTCTGTGTGTACAGTTACATGTTGTGTGTGTACATCTACATGTTCTGTGTGTACATATTTATGTTGTGTGTGTACAGCTACATGTTCTGTGTGTACAGCTACATGTTGTGTGTGTACATATTTATGTTGTGTGTGTACATCTACATGTTGTGTGTGTACATCTACAAATTGTGTGTGTATATCTACATGTTGTGTGTGTACATCTACAAATTGTGTGTGTATATCTACATGTTGTGTCTGTACATCTACATGTTCTGTGTGTACATATTTATGTTGTGTGTGTACATCTACATGTTCTGTGTGTACATATTTATGTTGTGTGTGTACATCTACATGTTCTGTGTACAGCTACACACTCTCTGTATACAGCTACATGTTCTATGTGTACAGCTCCACATTATGTCTGTACAGTTACATGTTCTGTGTGTAAAGCTACATGTTGTGTGTGTACATATTTATGTTGTGTGTGTACAGCTACATGTTCTGTGTGTACAGCTACATGTCCTGTGTGTACATCCACACATGCTGTGTCTACAGCTACATATTCTCTGTACAGTTACATGTTCTGTGTCATCCAGCTTCACATTCTGTGTGTACAGTTATATGTTGTGTGTGTACATCTACATGTTGTGTGTGTATATCTACATGTTGTGTGTGTACATCTACAAATTGTGTGTGTATATCTACATGTTGTGTGTATATATCTACATGTTGTGTGTGTACATCTACATGTTCTGTGTGTACATATTTATGTTGCGTGTGTACATCTACATGTTCTGTGTACAGCTACACACTCTGTATACAGCTACATGTTCTATGTGTACAGCTCCACATTATGTCTGTACAGTTACATGTTCTGTGTGTAAAGCTACATGTTGTGTGTGTACATCTACATGTTCTGTGTACAGCTACACACTCTCTGTGTACAACTACATGTTCTATGTGTACAGCTCCACATTATGTGTGTACAGTTACATGGTCTGTATGTACAGTTACATGTTCTGTATGTACATCTACATGTTGTGTGTGTACATCTACATGTTCTGTGTGTAGATACATGTTTTGTGTGTACAGCTACATGTTCTGTGTGTACAGCTACATGTTCTGTGTGTACATCCACACATGCTGTGTCTACAGCTTTATATTCTCTGTGTACAGCTACATGTTCTGTGTCTACAGCTTTATATTCTCTGTGTACAGTACATGTTCTGTGTATACAGCTTCACATTCTGTGTCTACAGCAACATATTCTCATTGTAAAGTAACATGTTGTGTGTGTACAGCTACCAATTCTGTGTGTACACCTACACATTATGTGTGTACAGCTACATGTTCTGTGTGTACATTCACACATTCTGTGTCTACAGCTACATATTCTCTGTGTACAGTTACATGTTCTGTGTGTACAGCTTCACACTCGGTGTACAGCTACATGTTTTGTGTGTACATTCACACATTCTGTGTCTAAAGCTACATATTCTCTGTGTACAGCTACATGTTCTGTGTGTACAGCTACACATTCTCTTGAACAGCTACATGTTCTGTGTGTACGGCTACATGTTCTGTGTGTACATCTACACATTCAGTGTGTACAGCTACATGTTCTGTGTGTACAGCTCCACATTCTCTTGAACAGCTACATGTTCTGTGTGTACGGCTAAATATTCTGTGTGTACGGCTACATGTTCTGTGTGTGTAGATACATGTTCTGTGTGTACAGCTACCTGTTCTGGGTGTGTTGATACATGTTCTGTGTGTACATCTACACATTCAGTGTGTAAAGCTACATGTTCTGTGTGTACAGCTACACATTCTCTTGAACAGCTACATGTTCTATGTGTACAGCTACTTGTTCTGTGTGTACAGCTACACATTCAGTGTGTAAAGCTACATGTTCTGTGTGTACAGCTACACATTCTCTTGAACAGCTACATGTTCTATGTGTACAGCTACATGTTCTGTGTGTACAGCTACATGTTCTGTGTGTACATCTACACATTCAGTGTGTACAGCTACATGTTCTGTGTGTACAGCTACACATTCTCTTGAACAGCTACATGTTCTGTGTGTACAGCTACATGTTCTGTGTGTACAGCTACATGTTCTGTGTGTACATCTACACATTCAGTGTGTACAGCTACATGTTCTGTGTGTACAGCTACACATTCTCTTGAACAGCTACATGTTCTGTGTGTACAGCTACATGTTCTGTGTGTACAGCTACATGTTCTGTGTGTACATCTACACATTCAGTGTGTACAGCTACATGTTCTGTGTGTACAGCTACACATTCTCTTGAACAGCTACATGTTCTGTGTGTACAGCTACATGTTCTGTGTGTACAGCTACATGTTCTGTGTGTACATCTACACATTCAGTGTGTACAGCTACATGTTCTGTGTGTACATCTACACATTCAGTGTGTACAGCTACATGTTCTGTGTGTACAGCTACACATTCTCTTGAACAGCTACATGTTCTGTGTGTACAGCTACTTGTTCTGTGTGTACATCTACACATTCAGTGTGTACAGTACATGTTCTGTGTATATACATCTACACATTCAGTGTGATCTACACATTCAGTGTGTACAGCTACATGTTCTGTGTGTACAGCTACATGCTCTGTGTGTATAAAGCTTCACATTCTGTGTATACAGCTGCATTTTCTCTGTGTGTGTACAGCTACATGTTCTGTGAGTGTAGATACATGTTGTGTGTGTACATTTACATGTTGTGTGTGTACAGCTACACTTTCTGTGTGAACAGCTACATGTTCTGTGTGTA